TTCTTTCTTCTTTCTGCCTCATTCTCAACCAGCTTCTCTAAATATAAGTATTATAAAAATTTCATGTAAAACCTCACATTCTTCAAATGGTAAATACACTTAAGTAATGTTCCCTGGTTATCTTTTCCCCACCATTTTATTTTTATTATTTTCTTTATAGCGCAGGTCTAACAATACAGACCAAGCTGGCCTCAAACTTGCCATCCTTTGGACTCCCCTCCTGAGTGCTGGAATTATAAGCATACACCACAGTCCTGGTTCTCCCACTATTTTAAAATGAAGATACCGTGTATGGGCTTGGAGAGATGGCTCAGTGGTTAAGAGTGCTTGCTGCTCCTCTAGAGGACCTGAGTTCAGTTCCCAGCACCCACTGGGTGGCTCACAAAATCTTGTAATTTCCAGCTCCAAGGGATCCAACCACTCTGGCCTCTGTGGGCCCCTGCACTCACCTGTATACACTCACACATACCCATAACTTAAGGGAAAAAAAAAAAAAAGATATCATCTACATTTAGTGAAATGCTATTTCCTTTAGACAAGGTCTCCCCATATAGCCCAGGCTGGCCTAGAAGTCTACATTCTTCTACCTCAGCCTCCTAAGTACCCAAATGCTGTGATTCCAGGTATGATACCACATCTGGCCAAACACCTGACAAGCAGAAATCTATCAGTTTTGGCAAATGCACACACTTGTTTAAGCCCCTATTGAGGCACAACACTCCCTCTGCTTTAGAAGCTCCCTCATAACCCTCTTGGGCCAGTCCCTTTACCAGGCAAAACTACTATTCTGTGTCATTCAGTATTACTCTGTATTTTGTCAGCTTCCGCTCAGTGTTTCTAGTAGCTGAGGTCTTGCTCTATAGCCTAGGCTAGCCCAAAATTCCAGATTCCCCTCGCTTCAGGGTCTTTTCTGGGATTACAAACATGCACTACTTACCCAGCTCTTCACAGCCTTTTTTCTGTTTTTAGAGATGAAGTCTCTTTATGTAGTTCATACTGGTTTGGACTTTAAATTCTCCTGTCTTAACCATCCAAGTGTTGAGATTACAGGTGGGTACTATTATGCCTGGCTCCTGACTTCTACTGCTTCCAGTATGTGTTCATACATGCCCCCTGTCATATTTCCTGCAGGCTTACCAGATATATTCAACATCAAAACACTGCCAAATTGGCCCCCAGAAGGCCTGTTTGAATATCCATTTCCATTAGCAGGACAGGGGAGCACTACTCTTTTCTATCCCCAATACTTGATGTTATGAATACTTAAAGTCATTTATATTTATTTATAGAAATAAATCTATAGGTTTGGAGAAATGTCTCAGCCTTTAAGAGCACTAGCTGCTCTTTCAGAGGACCTGGGTTTGGTTGCTAACACCCACATGGTGGCTAACAGCTATCCCTAGTTCCAGTTACAGGGGATCAAACATTGTCTTCTGACCTCTATGGGTATTGCATGCATGTGATGCACTTACATACATGCAGGCAAAACATTCATACACATAATAATTAAAAAATTATATAACATGTACCTATTGGTAGATATGCTGTAATTCTTAAAATTTTTAAATTTATTTTTATTTTATGTGTATGAGTGTTTTGCTGGCATATATGTATGTGCATCTGTGTGTACAATGCCTGTGGAGGCTGGAAAAAGGAATGGAATCCTCTGGAAGTGGAGTTACTGTTGTTAGCCACTGTGCAGGTGCTGGGAACTAAATCTGGGCTCTCTACAAGAGTAGCCAGGGCTCTTAACCACTGAGCCAGCTCTTCAGCCCCTGGAATTCCTTCTCCTTATATAAATATAAATATTCTTCTCAGGAGAATTCAGTTAGTACTATTTTGTCATATAGAAGTATAACTTTTGGTTCAAAGAATCTGTGCTGTGGAACTGAGCTTCCCTCAGGAACATGTGCTCATATCACTTTAATTTCTGCCACATTACATTTCACTGTTGATAAGTCCTGATGAGATATAGCATCTTTTCTTGGCAAGTGTGTAGTGCTGGGGATGGAAATCAGGGCCTTCTACACACTAGGCAAGCTTATTGGTCTTTCGGAACAATTCTTTAACATGTCTCTTCATATTGTCCTTGTTTTCAACTAGGTTGTCTTATTTCTAAGAACTCTTTGTGCATTATATATATAAAATCCCTTACCTAACTTTATATTTTTCTAATCTACCATTTGACACCTGATATTTTTATAATAGCTTGTCTCATAAAATTTTATTCAATAATACATCCTTTTCACCTTTTCCTCTTGGCTTTGATAGTAATGTCATAAAGTAAATATATTTTCTCTCTTAAGTGTATTAAGATTTTTGTTCCTTTTTTCCTGGTGTTTTGAAATAGGGTGTCATGTAGCCAAGGATGACCTTGAATTCCTTATCTACCTCCCAAGTGCTGGGATTCTCTGTGAGTTCAAGACCATCTTGGTCCACAGAGCAGAGCTCTAGGCTAGTCATGGCTACACAGTGAGACCTCATCTCAAAAATAAAAATAAATAAATAAACCAGAGGCAGTGGCACATGCCTTTAAAAGCCATAGCATTTGAGAGGCAGAGGCAGGTAGATCTCTGTGAGATTGAAGCCAGCTGGGGCTACAGAGAGACCATGTCTCAAGAAACCAAAGAAAGCAAACAATACAAAATTCCTACAGAGCAGAGCTCTAGGCTAGTCATGGCTACACAGTGAGACCTCATCTCAAAAATAAAAATAAATAAATAAACCAGAGGCAGTGGCACATGCCTTTAAAAGCCATAGCATTTGAGAGGCAGAGGCAGGTAGATCTCTGTGAGATTGAAGCCAGCTGGAGCTACAGAGAGACCGTGTCTCAAGAAACCAAAGAAAGCAAACAATAAAAAATTCCTTTGAAAGTTTTTTTAACAATTTCATCTTATACCTTATCCTGTTTTTTAAGAGTCTTGATTTGTGGCCCTATGTTCACTAAGCTGGCTTCACCCTACACTAAGCCTCTTACTCCTGTCTCCTCAGTGCTGGGATCACAGTGTGCACCGCCACACTAACTTAAAGCTTTTCCTTTTGTTCCTTGTTCTTTTGGTAACTGGGGGCTCAGCCAGTCTCCCATAGCAGGCAGGCTTTATACACCATGTGTTGCGGCCTCCTGGACATTTTAGACACACAAATACCTCCTTACCAAAAATAATCTTATATTTTCCTTTCCAACTTTTATTTTCCATAACTTCTTCATCTTTAATGATTTTCACCAACATCCTTTTTTGTTTAAACTTGAGGCACATTCCTTTTCTCTTTCTTCATTATATAACTAAAGACTTTAAAAACTCATCCTGTTGCTGCTTCTGCTGACTCACACTCCTGAAAGGCAGCATACATTACGTATATTTTGAATTGTGAAGCTGGATCCTATATTTAAATATAAAGCTGAGCAACTTGGGCAAATCATGAGGCATCTCTATATTTTAAGTTTCCTTAACTCAAAAAAGTAGAAATATTAATGTTTATACCTCAAAGAGTTTTGTAAGAATCACTTAAGGGCTCGGGACAAATCATAGAAGCCTAATTCTTTAGGTATTCTATGGTTTTTGTACTTCTGTTTGTGAAAACTAGTCATAAGGGATTTGTTGAAGCTTTCTGAGGGTGGTTGAGACCTGTGCATAAGGACTTATTTGAGGTGCTGCTTTCCAGCTTTTGAGCATGAATAACCTCATGCAGATTAATTTGATACAGCTCCCTGGCCTTCAAAGGTCAGAGATTGTCCCTAGTCTCCTCAGTATAGCAAAACTATGTAATCAAGATCTGAATCTATTTCCAAGCTGCACCAGCATGATCCTATGGCTCTAGTTCATTCCTAACTTCAACAGATTTTTTTGTTACTTTCCTATAGGTTCATCCACTTATTTGAAAGAGGGCTTTATTTGATCGGTATGTAGCCAGGGTCATCTTGTGAGAAAAGAAGTCTCATTCTAGTAACACTCCCTCCCTTTCTTGTTTGAGATGAGGTCTCATATAACTTAGGCTAACCTCAAACTTGCAGTATAGCAAAGGATGACCCTGAACTTCTGATTTTCCTTCCACTACCTCCCAAGTACACTACCACACCTGGTTTTATGTGGCACTGGAAAGCAAACCAAGGGCTTTGTATATGCTAAGCAAGCACTCTGTTAACTCAGCCACACCCTCAGCCCTTCTAGTAATTTAAAAATCATATTTCGGAATTTCTAGGTTAAAAAAAATCTTATCTTCAGCAAAGAAGTACAACTTTCTTCTAATATTTACATGACTTATTCCATTTTATCTTATTGCATCTCTTGGAACCTCTAAAACAGTCCCTGCTTCCTTGTTACCAAGTTCATTCATAGTAGCACAATTCACAGAATGACGCCTGCTGTCACTTTTTGGGGGGGTCTTTTTGAGACGGGGTCTCTCTGTGCGTGGAGCTTCCTATGTAGACCAGGCTGACCTTGAACTCACAGAGATCTATCTGCCTCTGCTTCTCAAGTGCTGGGACTAAAGGCATGTACCACTATACCCAGCTACTTGCTGTCACTTTTAAAATATTTTGTTTATTTATTTATTTTTAAAAGCTGCTTGCTTTTTTAAAAGCTTCTTTTTTATTTTTATTTTATGTGTATGAGTGTATTGCCTCAAATACATGTGTGTGTGATGTGTGTGACTGCATCCATGTTGTGCAGTGCTGCGGAGGTCAGAAGAGGGCTTCGGATTCCCCTGGAACTGGAGTTAAGGACAGTTCGTAGCTGCCATGTGGGTGCTGGGAATTGAACCCGGGTCTTCTGTAAGAGCAGTCAGTGCTCTTAACCACTGAGCCATCTCTCCATCCCTTTATTTATGGTTTTTATTTTACGTGAGTATACTGCATGTAAGTGCACCTGAGTTGTGCAATGTCTGCTGAGGCCAGAAGAGGGCATCAGATCCTCTGGAACTAGAGTTATGGATGATGGTTAGCTGCCACTAGAGTGCTGGGAACAAAACCTGGGTCCTCTGCAAGAGCAGCCAGTGCTCTTAACTGCTGGGCCAGGTCTCCAGCTTCCACTGCTCTCACTTTTTAGTAAAGAAATGTTTTATTTTGAATTAAATGCATCCATATGATTCCTTCATAATTTTTATTACTTTGAAATATTACTTTCTGGGGTCCTGGAGAGATGGCTCAGCAGTTAAGAGCACTGACTGCTCTTGCAGAGGACCTAAGTTCGGTTCTCAGCACCCACAGGGTGGCTAACAACTAACCCTAACTTCAGTTCCAGGGGATCCGAAAAAATCGCTAGTCCTCTGTGGGCACTGCATGACATGGGTGCACTTATATACATGCAGGCAAAACACTCAAACACATAAATTTAAAAATTGAACTATCACTTTTTGGTCTAGTTGTCTTATTTGTGTAGAGCTAAAAATTCAAGTCATGTTGTGAAATCTAGTCCACCTGTGACTGTTTACCTTTTTTGCTATTATTTCTAAATAGTTTCTGGTACTTTCTTTTTCCCTTGAACATAATATGCGAAAGGTTGCTCATTATATATGCATGCTCTCAAAGGACTAGCGATTTTTCATGCCTGTATGTATATAGTAACAGTTAAGGCTACTTAAGACGCTGGGGATTCATTCTGTTGGTAGACAGCTTCTCTGACGTACTATGAAGCCCGGGGTGTGATCTTCAGCACCATAAGACTCAGTGTGATGGCACACACCTATAGTCCCAGTATTCAAGAGGTGGAAGCAAGAGGATCAGAAGTTCAAAGTCGTCCTTGGCTACACAGCAAGCTTGAGGTCAACCTTGGCTATACAAACTAATAAAATGTATTTAAGATTGCCGGGCGTGGTGGCACATGCCTTTAGTCCCAGCACTCGGGAGGCAGAGGCAGGCGGATCTCTGAATTCAAGGCCAGCCTGGTCTACATAGTGAGTTCAGATCAGCTGGGTCTACCGGGAGACCCTGTCTCAAAAGGAAAAAGAATGTTTATAGGGGTTAAATATAATTTTTTTTTTTTGAGACAGGGTCTCTCTGTAGCCCCAGCTGTCCTGGACCTCACTATGTAGACCAGGCTGGCCTTGAACTCAGAGATCCACCTGCCTCTGCCTCCCGAGTGCTGGG